GCCAGCTGGTGCAGCAGGCGGCCTCGGTTCAGGGCGTCCAGCCGGCGCCACGGGGAGCCCCTCTGGAAGGCGGCGTGTGCGGCTTCCACCGCCTTGTCCACGTCGGGCTGAGCGGCCAAAACAAGAGACAGCGTGTCAGCTCGCGACGACACTGCAGTTTGGGACGGAGAGCAGCAGAGCCCTGCTTCCCGCACGTGACAGACGAAGGAGGGGGTGGCTGGGGGCTTTCAAGGGACAATTTTCTTTTTTACATCTTCGGTCTTTCTCTTTCCTTTTTTTAAACAATAACCTTTAAAAAAACTATATATATAAATGTCGGTCCAACTGGTAGCTATGACACGCACTGACCACCAGGGGGCAGACGCTCATTGCAGAAGCTGCCAAGCGGCAGTGACTGGGCAGTGGTGGTTCTCGGGTGATGCACCCCAGAACCAGGGAGGAGGGAGCCCGATTCCTCGCGGGGCTGCGCGATTCCACCTTCGGCCCTGGGTTCTGTTGTTGCTGGGGCTCTGTCGGCCCCAAATCTGGTTTACGGCACACGTGTGTTAGCGTTCCACACCCTGTATGACAGCAACTTTGCAGAGGGGCCTCCCGCACTCCGGGACCCCCTGGGGGATGTCGGAGAGCTGGTTTCAGCCCGATCCCTGCAGGCCAGGCCGAGGGGCCCACCTGCCGGAGGGACCCCGCTCACTCCACAGATGCCCTGCAAGCCATGGCGATGCCCCAGGTGCGGCTGGCAGGGGAGGGACCGCGGGAGGTTGGCTCCAGGGCGTGTCTGGCCCTTCTCTCTCACCCAGTCCTTCCCCAAAGGCCGCCTTCTAATAAATTTCCTTTCAACGTGCACGAATTCATGCACCGGGTCATGAGCTAATTATAATATGTTACACGATCACATGAGTTCCTGGTAGAAAAGAAATCTGGCAATTCCGTGACATTATTACCACTGAGTGACTTGGTTAGCGAGTCTTTTTCCTTCAAGTTTTTTTTTTTTTTTTTTTTTTGTTATTTTTTAGTGTCTCTCGCCAGAATGCCGCCTTTGGTGAAACACACCAGCCGGCAATGCTCTCGGGAAAGACCCCTCAATGCCTGCAGGTTGGAATCATGGATAAAAACCTTTCCTCTGGCCACATGAGGAGGCTGCAGTAATCCTCTCAGATGGGGAAACGTCCATCTGCGCCCCCCTGATCCCTAACTGACCCCATTCTAGGCCCTGCATCCGAGAAGCAGCAAACCCAGGTCCTACCTGAGAGGGGACCAGTCCCATCTCACACCTGAGCCGACCCCCCTCCTCATCCTTCCGCCTCCGGAGCTGAGGTACCTGGGGCTGCGTGGGGCACACCCACCTTATCTCCTTCCTCCACCTCACAGATTTGCTCCAGCGTCGAAGGGTTGTAGGTGGCGAACTTTTTCCCGCTGGTGGACTCATGCCATTCGTTGTTGATGAACATCTACCCAAGAAAGGAAGTTGTAACTTTTTAGGCTTACGTCAATCATCTAAGGACAAGGCAACCTTTTTTTTTCTTTTTCCTTTTTTTCTAAAGAACTGTTTACCCACCTTCAGAGAGAGAAGTAGAGAGAGAAACATCTGTGATAGGAGAGGGGCAACATGGATCGGCTGCCTCCTGCACGCCCCGTTCTGGGGATCGAGCCCACAACCCAGGCACCTTCCCTGACCGGGAATCGAACCGGTGACCCCCAGGTGCACGGGACGATGCCCAACCAACTGAGCCACACTGGCCAGGACCAAGTCTCATGTTCAGAGAATTACTTTTGTCAAAAGAAAGCAAAAAACATTCAAAAAATTTTCTAAAATCTTCTCTCTCTCTTTTAAAGCAATGGCACGGATCACAGAGGAATAACTAAGTTATATCTATATATATAAAAGCCCAAGCAACCATCTGACCATTCGACCAGTAGCTCTGATGTGCACTGACCACCAGGGGGCAGACGCTCAACATACAGGCATGGAAACATGGAACAGACCGATGAATCTCAGAGGGAAGCGGGGAGGGGGGAGGGCAAGAAGAGATTAACCGAAGACCTCATATGCACACTAGAGGCCCCGTGCACGGATTTATGCACTGGTGGGGTTCCTCGACCTGGCCTGCAGGGATCAGGACAAAACCAGCAGTCCGACATCCCTCGGGGGGTCCCGGATTACAAGAGGGGTCCCGGATTGCCAGTTTGGCTCAGCAGAGAGAGCATCGGCCTGTGGACCAAAGGGTTCGATTCTGATCAAGGGCACGGACCTCGGTTGCAGGCTTTGCAACCAATCGATGTCTCTCTCTCACATCGATGTCTCTCCCTCTCCATCCCTCCCCACGCGGCGTGGAATCCGGAGCTGCTAGCGCCCCTCACCCGCCGGCGATGTGCCTGCCCTTCTGACTTTTGGGAGCTCAGTGCCAGGCCCCCAGGGAATCCCACCCCTCGGACGGGGGCCAGCTTCAATTACAGCGCTATTCTTCCAGCGGAAACCGAATCCCAGAGTTGACTTTCGCCATCCAGCCGGCCCTCGCCGGGGAGAGAGAGACATTAATAACCCGGGAGGGAGATGCTGGCCCGGAGGGGCGTGCGGCCGGCAGCGGGAGCGGCCCATGTGTCGGAGGATGGAATTTCGTGGCTGAGATAATAGAGGCTGTCAGCGAAAACTGCTGAATCCGGAGCTTCCCGGTATCAGTTCCAGGGGGAGGGCGGAAAGTGAGAAGGTGGCAGCAGAGAATATACATGAAGGCCAGGGAGCGATCGGGTGTCTGTGAGACTTCACCTCCACGCGTGTGCCTGCCCCCCCAAAAATTACCTGGCCGGTCGTGACATTGACCTGTAAGTCCTCTCTAACCAGCAACTGACGGTTTTTAAAAGATATCCTTTATGGATCTCAGAGAGGAAGGGAGAGGGAGACAGAGAGAGAAACATCCATGATGAGAAAGCATCACGGATCAGCTGCCTCCTGCACGCCCCCTACTGGGGATGGAGCCCGCAACCCGGGCCTGTGCCCTGACCGGGAATCGAACCGGGACCTCCTGGTTCCTAGGTCGACGCTCAACCACTGAGCCACGCCAGCCGGGCTCTAACCAGCAACTTCAAAAAAAAAATAATGCAGACTGCTCAACTCCAGCCGTGTTTTTCCCATGGTGATGTTTCTAATTTAGCCACGTTTTTTTTTCTTGAGACTACACTCGTAAGTGATCGCGTCAGCGGTTTCCACTGTGGATTCCGGGAGAAAGCAAAAACTCAAATGAAGAAGGAGGCGGGCCGTGTGGCCGGCCTGCCAGTCTGCTCGCTGCGTGTTTTTTCTTTACTTTTTATTGGTTGCTCGTCCTCACCCGAGGGTATTTTTTTTCTCCCCTGAATTTGAGAGAGAGTGGCAGGGAGGGGGAGAGACACAGAGAGAGAAACAGCGATGGGAGAGAGACACACGCCGATTGGTTGCCTCCTGCACGCACCCCACCTGGGGCCGGATCCGCCCTTTCTCTCTCCCTGCCTCTCGCCCCTCCCTTCTTCCTTCCCTCCACTCTTCTCTCTTAAAAAAAAAATCATCAATGGAAAAAATATCCTCCGCGAGGATTCAAAAACCAAAAAAAAGTGAGAAGCAAATGAAGGCGGTGGGTCGGACAAGGTCGTCCTTTTGCAAATTGGACTTCACCCTGGGAAATGCCACCCTCAAGGCCCGCACTCAGGCCCACCACTTCTGGCGCACCCTCCACGAGCGAGAAGTGCCAAGAATCCAATCTGAAAAGTAACAGACAGTCGCCGGTTCACACGCTCCCCCCTCCCCACGGCCCGCCTTGGGCCTCGAGGGCCTCCACGCGGGAGTTCTG